TCCTCTCCTATTTTTAACTGACAAATCCATTTGTTCTCTAGGCTTTCTTAACTTGTTAATCTCACTCCAAAACTTTTTCTTATTTTCAACAAAATTTGTTGATAACATCTCACCCACTCTCTCATTTGCTCTCTTTTTACATTGCTTCACCACTCTCTTAACCTCTCTCTTTTTCTGCATATACTCTTCCTCCTTGCATCACTTCTACTTGTGTAAAAACTTCTCATATGCTAATTTTTTCTCCCTTACTACTCTCTTTACATCATCATTTCACCAATCGCTCCTCTTTCCTCCTGCACCCACTTTCCTGTAACCACAAACTTCTGCTGAACACTCTAAACCCTACATTTTTAAACCTACCCCATACCTCTTCGACCCCATTGCCTATGCTCTCATTAGCCCATCTATCCTCCAATAGCTGTTTATATCTTACCCTAACTGCCTCCTCTTTAGTTTATAAACCTTCACCTCTCTCTTCCCTGATGCTTCTATTCTCCTTGTATCCCATCTACCTTTTACTCTCAGTGTAGCTACAACTAGAAAGTGATCTGATATATCTGTGGCCCCTCTATAAACATGTACATCCTGAAGTCTACTCAACAGTCTTTTATCTACCAATACATAATCCAACAAACTACTGTCATTTTGCCCTACATTCATATTTGTATACTTATTTATCCTCTTTTTTTTTAAAATATGTATTACCTATAACTAAACCCCTTTCTATACAAAGTTCAATCAAAGGGCTCCCATTATCATTTACACCTGGCACCCCAAACTTACCTACCACACCCTCTCTAAAAGTTTCTCCTACTTTAGCATTCAGGTCCCCTACCACAATTACTCTCTCACTTGGTTCAAAGGCTCCTATACATTCACTTAACATCTCCCAAAATCTCTCTCTCTCCTCTGTATTCCTCTCTTCTCCAGGTGCATACACGCTTATTATGACCCACTTCTCGCCTCCAACCTTTACTTTAATCCACATAATTCTTGAATTTACACATTCATATTCTCTTTTCTCCTTCCATAACTGATCATTTAACATTACTGCTACCCCATTCGAGACACGTCCACATGTGGCCTGAGCGCGCCTCTCTTGTCCCATGGGTGCTAGTGTTTACAAGCCAGCCAGCCACCGCGGTCGCATCCAAACATGCAATCGGAACATTTCATATTATCACAGCGTTTTTAGTGATTGCACCTGCAAAATAAGTCACCATGGGCCCCAAGGAAGCTTCTAGTGCCAACCCTACAGCAAAAAGGGTGAGAATTACTATGGATATGAAGAAAGAGATCATTGCTAAGTATGAAAGTGGAGTGCGTGTCTCTGAGCTGGCCAGGTTGTACACAAAACACCAATCAACCATCACTACTATTGTGGCCAAGAAAATGGCAATCAAGGAAGTTGTTCTTGTCAAAGGTGCAACTATGTTTTTGAAACTGAGATTACAAGTGATAGAAGATGTTGAAAGACTGTTATTGGTGTGGATAAACGAAAAACAGATAGCAGGAGATAGCATCTCTCAAGCGATCATATGTGAAAAGGCTAGGAAGTTGCATGATGATTTAATGAGAAAAATGCCTGCAACTAGTGGTGATGTGAGTGAATTTAAGGCCAGCAAAGGTTGGTTTGAGAGATTTAAGAATCGTAGTGGCATTCATAGTGTGATAAGGCATGGTGAGGCTGCCAGTTCGGACCACAAAGCGGCTGAAAATTTTTTTTTTATTTTTTTATTATCACACTGGCCGATTCCCACCAAGGCAGGGTGGCCCGAAAAAGAAAAACTTTCACCATCATTCACTCCATCACTGTCTTGCCAGAAGGGTGCTTTACACTACAGTTTTTAAACTGCAACATTAACACCCCTCCTTCAGAGTGCAGGCACTGTACTTCCCATCTCCAGGACTCAAGTCCGGCCTGCCGGTTTCCCTGAACCCCTTCATAAATGTTACTTTGCTCACACTCCAACAGCACGTCAAGTATTAAAAACCATTTGTCTCCATTCACTCCTATCAAACACGCTCACGCATGCCTGCTGGAAGTCCAAGCCCCTCGCACACAAAACCTCCTTTACCCCCTCTCTCCAACCTTTCCTAGGCCGACCCCTACCCCGCCTTCCTTCCACTACAGACTGATACACTCTTGAAAAATATGAAAATATGTGCAGGAATTCAAGGAGTACATAGACAGTGAAGAATTGAAACGTGAACAAATGTTTAATTGTGACGAAACAGGTCTGTTTTGGAAGAAAATACCAAACAGGACCCACATTACTCAAGAGGAAAAGTCACTCCCAGGACATAAGCCTATGAATGACAGGCTTACTCTGCTGATGTGTGCCAGTGCTAGTGGTGATTGCAAAGCCTTTATTGGTGTATCACTCTGAAACTCCCAGAGTGTTCAGGAAAAACAATGTCCTCAATGCTAATTTGTGTGTGCTGTGGAGGGCAAACAGTAAGGCATGGGTCATTAGGGACTTTTTCTATGACTGGTTACACCATGCATTTGCCCCCACTGTGAAAAATTACCTCCTGGAAAATAAAGTGGACCTTAAATGCCTCCTGGTATTAGACAATGCTCCTGGTCATCCTTCAAACTTGGAAGAGCGACTTTCTGGGGACATGAGCTTCATCAAGGTCAAGTTTTTGCCTCCTAATACCACTCCTCTCCTGCAGCCCATGGACCAGCAGGTTATTGCAAACTTCAAAAAACTCTACACAAAAGCTGTGTTTGAAAGGTGCTTTGTAGTGACCTCAGAAACTCAGTTGACTCTAAGAGAGTTTTGGAGAGATCACTTTACCATCCTCAATTGTATAAACCTTATAGGTAAGGCTTGGGAGGAAGTGACTAAGAGGACCTTGAACTCTGCTTGGAAGAAACTGTGGCCAGAATGTGTAGACAAAAGGGATTTTGAAGGATTTGAGGCTAACCCTGAGAAGCATATGCCAGTTGTGGAATCAATTGTGGCATTGGGGAAGTCCTTGGGGTTGGAGGTTAGTGGGGAGGATGTGGAAGAGTTGGTGGAGGAGGACAATGAAGAACTAACCACTGATGAGCTGCAAGATCATCTTCAACAGCAAGAGGCCAGACCTGAGGAAACTGCTTCGGAGGAGGGGAGAGATAAATTGAAGAAGTTGCCTACTTCAAAGATTAAGGAAATGTGTGCAATGTGACTTAAAGTGCAAACCTTTTTTGATGAAAATCACCCTGACACAGCTATTGCAAGCCATGCTGGTGACTATTACACTGACAATGTTGTGAAACACTTTAGGAATGTCATAAAGGAACGAGATGTACAGGCCTCTATGGACAGATATGTTGTGCGACAGAAGTCCAGTGACTCTGAAGCTGGTCCTAGTGGCATTAAAAGAAGAAGGGAAGTAACCCCAGAAAAGGACTTGCCACCTCAAGTCTTAATGGAAGGGGATTCCCCTTCTAAACACTAACACCATCCACACTCTCCCCTCCTCCCATCCCATCAATCATCACCAGATCTTCAATAAAGGTAAGTGTCATGTAATTGTACATGTCTTCTTCAGTTTGTGTGTTAAAATTAATATTTCATGTGGTAAAATTTTTTTTTTTTAATACTTTGGGGTGTCAGGAACAGATTAATTTGATTTCCATTATTTCTTATGGGGGAAAATTAACTCGACTAACGATTATTTCAACTAATGTTGAGCTCTCAGGAACGGATTAATATCGTTGGTTGAGGGTCCACTGTATTTGGAATTAGCCTGGAACCTAACCTGCTATAAAAGTGGGGCCCTACAATAGCCTGGAACCTGACCTGCTGTATAAGTGGGGTCTTACAGTAGCCTGGAACCTAACCTGCTATAAAAGTGGGGCCCTACAATAGCCTGGAACCTGACCTGCTGTATAAGTGGGGCCTTACAGTAGCCTGGAACCTAACCTGCTATAAAAGTGGGGCCCTACAATAGCCTGGAACCTATCCTGCTGTATAAGTGGGGCCTTACAGTAGCCTGGAACCTAACCTGGTATAAAAGTGGGGCCCTACAATAGCCTGCAACCTGACCTGCTGTATAAGTGGGGCCTTACAGTAGCCTGGAACCTAACCTGCTATAAAGTGGGGCCCTACAATAGCCTGGAACCTAACCTGCTGTATAAGTGGGGCCTTACAGTAGCCTTGAACCTAACCTGCTATATAAGTGGGGCCCTACAATAGCCTGAAATCTAACCTGCTGTATAAGTGGGGCCTTACAGAAGCCTGGAACCTAACCTGCTATAAAAGTGGGGCCCTGCAATAGCCTGCAACCTGACCTGCTGTATAAGTGGGGCCTTACAGTAGCCTGGAACCTAACCTGCTGTATAAGTGGGGCCCTACAGGTATATATGTAATTTTTGCTAACAATTTAAAGAGTTTTGGGGAAAAACTAGCATTAATAAATTTTGCACTAAATCAAAGTTAGCATTATTCAAACCAGTACTAACTGAGTCTTGACTGTATATCAAGAGTTCACTGTATTGTTAACCTAAGTCATGATGCTAGACTTATAAGTCATCGTGCTCATGGGTTTCAGACTGACTGCTACACAACCTATAAAATTATCATGGACAATTATAAAGGCTAGCCATAACAGTCATAACACCTATACAGTCATAACACCTATACAGTCATAACACCTTTACAGTCATAACACCTATACAGTCATAACACCTATACAGTCATAACACCTATACAGTCATAACACCTATACAGTCATAACACCTTTACAGTCATAACACCTATACAGTCATAACACCTATACAGTCATAACACCTTTACAGTCATAACACCTATACAGTCATAAACACCTTTACAGTCATAACACCTATACAGTCATAACACCTATACAGTCATAACACCTATACAGTCATAACACCTTTACAGTCATAACACCTATACAGTCATAACACCTATACAGTCATAACACCTATACAGTCATAACACCTATACAGTCATAACACCTATACAGTCATAACACCTTTTCTTCAGAGCAGATTGTGAGTTTGCCAAGAAGGTGGTGAAGCCGTACGACTGGACGTACACCACAAACTTCAGAGGGACGCTGTCTGGAAGCCTCAAGGCAGAAGCCTCCACTGAGCGCATCGATCTCGACAAATTACGAGTACAAGAGGAAATTAAATTCTATGAAGAAATTTTCTTATATGAAGACGAGTTAGACGACAACGGAAGTACGAGATGTGTGGTGAAAGTGGTAAGTTTGTGTACACTAAGTTCCCAACTTATAAATGCATCGAGAATCTTCTGTACTGTGTATAATATCATTATTATATCATTATTGAGTATAATATCATTGCAGCCTCTCCTCACTTAGTGACGTACTCATTTACCGACGCCTCGGACTTACGATGGGCTCTCTGACCAGTATTCATACCTAAATAATGATGCTCCTCACTTAGCGACAAATTCATTTAACAAAGTGGTCTTAGGAACGAAACTGTTGTTAAGTGAGGAGTGGCTGTATGATGTATTATTATATACAATACAGGGGATCCCCAATGTGTTTTAAGTTGAAAACTTCCTGTATTATGATTAAAACAAGAGTTTGCTAGGTAGCATAAATTTTGCACTAAATCAAAATTAGCATTATTTGAACTTGTACTAATAGAGTCTTGACTGTATATCAAGAGTTCACTGTATTGTTAACCTAAGTCATGATGCTAGACTTGTAAGTCATCTTCCTCATGGGTTCCCAAGTGACTGCAGCACAGTCAATGCAGCTGTCATAGATGGATATGAAGACTATTGTAAATTGTGTTGAATATTTTTGGGTAAAGCAGCTGGAGCTGACAGGATCATGACAGAAATGTTAAAAGTAGGGGGGTATATTGTGTTGGAGTGGTTGGTATTTTTGTTTAATAAGTGTATTAAAGAGGGGAAGGTACCTAGGGATTGGCAGAAAGCATGTATAGTCCCTTTATATAAGGGAAAGGGGGACAAAAGAGATTGTAAAAATTATAGAGGAATAAGCTTACTGACTATACCAGGTAAAGTGTACGGTAGGGTTATTATTGAAAGAATTAGAGGTAAGACAGATCAGGATTGCAGATGAACAAGGAGGCTTTAGAATGGGTAGAGGATGTGTAGATCAAGTGTTTACATTGAAGCATATAAGTAAACAATATTTAGATAAAGGTAGGGGTGTTTTCATTTCATTTATGGATTTAGAAAAGGCATATGATAGGGTGGATAGGGGAGTAATGTGGCAGATGTAACCCATGGCCAGGTGGCAAAAGCTCTCGCTTCACATGGAGAGGGTCCAGGTTTGATTCCCGGTAAGGTTGGAAACATTGGGTGTGTTTCCTTACACCGGTTGTCTATGTTCACCCATCAGTAAAGTGGGTACCTGGGTGTTAGTTGACTGGTGTGGATTGCATCCTGGGGGCAAAACTGACCTAATTTACCTGAAATACTCTGCATAACAAGCAACTTTCTATATACGTAGTAGTAGTATGTCATTGATGTCAGCTTGGACTGTATACAGCCTCTCCTCACCTAGCGACGTACTTGTTTACCAATGACTCGGACTTACGACGGGCTCCCTGACCAGTATTTCGAATCGAATCGAAGACGACGAGAGCTGTCGTAAGTTAGGAAGGAAGAAGGATAAGGAAGGATGGAAATAACTGGAAAAGGATGGGAAGGAGGGGAAGAGGAGGAATCAAGGCAGGTGGCCCAACCACTTTGGGACATGTGGGACCGAAGTACTGGAGGCGTAGATGGAGAGGCTTGAGTGATGTCATTACTTGGCTCTCTAGGAGAGGATGACGAAGGCAGTGGCAGGAGCTGGGAGTGTCTGAAGGCAGTAAGCAGGTTGAGTTGTATTGGTGGTGGTCAGCTTGAGTCTGGAACTTCTGTATTGGCATGTGCCTGATTCTAAATTTGCAATCTTGGTCGATCTTTGGAGAATTATGGACATTGATAAGTTCTCTAAGGTAAAGAAAATGTGATGGACAAACGACGTACTTGACTTCTTCACTCTGGAGGAGGGGGATCAATGTCTGTGCATCCATTTCTTTAGGATAATCAGGAGTAGTGTAGAAAGCAAATCCACGTATCTTATTATATTGTTGTTCATCCTTAGAGTAATAGACAGGTGAAGTCGTTGATTGGTCAGTTTCAAGAAGTGTTGAATTTGGAAGTGTAGATACATTGTCAACTTCAGTAGACGAATTAGAAGATGTTTCTGGTGGCAAGGCTTCTGATTGGTTGGATTCAGTGAGGAGTGGTGGCGGTGGAGGCTTCTCATTGGACATTGTTAGAGTGACATCACTAGTTGGTGGTGTTGATGGACCTTCTGCAGCAGGGGATCCAGGTACAGCCATGTTCTGCATGTGAGCGTATAGTAGACAATAATGGATCTTCGTTATGTCACATGTTGGAGTGATGGTGGTGGTGGTGGAGGCGGGCTGAGTAGATGCTTGAAGTAATTTTGTAGTATCTGCTTGCAACTTCGCAATTGCGGCATACGTTGGTGTGTTGTTGGTAGATTTTTTCTTTGCTGCATCTTGTGTTTTCTTCATAATATCCTTTCTTGTAGGACATTTTGCTGCCAATGTATGGTGATCATTACTCTTGCAGTTTAAACACACTGGTTGTGTTGGAGCAGCAGCGGTACAGGAACTGAAGGTGTGTCCCTCACTACCACATGTAGTGCAGAACTTCTTGTCTTTTACTAGACATGCTTTGGTGGTGTGAAGATAAGAATAACAGTTCCAGCAATGTTGGATGTAGTGGTATCTTTCTGCTTCTATGTAGGTGGGACTGATGTAGTAGTAGTAAACAGCAAGACCTTCGTTCAGAGCAGTGGCAGCCATGTTCACGTCGGTAAAGGTGACCTTGAGCATAGACGATGCATTCGGGATTTTGGTAATACTGTCAACAGTAGCCCAAGTATTTTGAGTTTTAATAGATGACTTGAGTTCAGCAATTGGTTGAGAGGTCAAAATTTTATCCAGTTTTTTTAGGAATACTGATTTTCTTGCCCTGAGGGCAGGAGATGATGTAATAGTAAATCCTTGAGCAGTAAGAGTAGTGGTGACTTCTGTAGTGAGTAACTTCTCTGCTTCTGCATCATCGTGACATACAACAATGAGTGCTTCTTTGAGTGTCCTCAGAATAGCATTGAATTTAACATGCAATGATCCCTGCACAACAGTTGCAAGAGCAAGCTTTGTTGAATCATCAACGGTTCCACTCTTTGGCTTGATCTTTACACGGTTTGCGTAGCTCATCATGCAAGTCAAGACGAAGACAACGCTGTAAAGGTTCCCCTCCCCAACGGGGGTCATAGGGAGACTTGAGTATGTAAGGAGAGCTGCTATGACCTGCTGAGGCGAGAGTCAAAAGCAGAATCTGTCGTGTGTGTCTGTCATGTGTCTGTGTATCCTGACCAGTATGTATACCTGGGTATACATACTGGGTGCCTTTGTTGTGGACGTTTCGCCATCCAGTGGCTGGCTGGATGGTGAAACATCTACGATAGGGATGCCCGGGTGTTGCGCATGTCTTAATTTCATCTTGTCGGTATTATATACCATTCTGTACAACTACTACTACTACTACTACTACTACTACTACTACTACTACTACTACTACTACTACTACTACTACTACTACTACTACTACTACCACCACCTCTTCCTGCCTATATATAGCCGTCCTGCTTCGCTTCTGGTTAGTGTGACTTTGTAAATGGTCCAAGTCGGACCGAAACGTCGTCGTAAGCTTCTCTCTTTTATGTGCGGGTTATTTGTGTATTGTTATGTGTACCTAAAATGACGGTCTGGAGTTTTGAGACTCTCTGATCGCGGGTTCTATCCCCGCCCGTGGTATGGTTTATGTATACCTAAATAATGTACATTAAAGCTGATTTCCTCTATTTTGTTTAACCCTTTCAGGGTTTCGGACGTACTGTACTAGTACGGCTTACGCATCAGGGTTTTTGACGTACTAGTACGCCTAAATTCTAGTGCCCTCAAATCTAGTGAGAGAAAGCTGGTAGGCCTACATATGAAAGAATGGGTCTATGTGGTCAGTGTGCACAGTATAAAAAGAATCCTGTAGCACACAGTGCATAATGAGGAAAAAAAACTTTGACCGTGTTTTTGGATTAAAACAGCGACTTTGCACTGTATTTTCATATGCTATTTATTGTTGTATTCTAGATTTCCTGGTCTCATTTTATAGAATGGAAGACATATTACAGAAATTGAGATGATTTTGACTGGTTTTACAATAAAAATTACCTTGAAATTGAACTCGAAGTAGCAGAAATGTTTGATTTTACCTAAGTTCAAAAGTAAACAAATCATGCCAAGCGTCCAATACACGACAACTGGTGAGTCTAATATTCTTTCACAAGTGCGCTGATATTATTTATACCGTTTCTACACTAATGCAGTAGTCTACATAACAGTAAATTTTCTATTTTTTGTGAGAATAAAAATTCAAAGTGGAAAGCAAAAGAATGTAAGAGGGGCGTGGGGACGTGACTGATGAACAGAGGAAATGTTATTTTAGTGTCAGGAATGTCTTTCTTGTTTATTCTGGACCCTATTTGGAAATTGGCATCTTTTGAAATTTGTGTGAAATTGGCAAAATTGCTAAATTCTGGCCACTATTGGATAGTTGAAATCAGTAAATGGGTGGTTTCTTGTACTCATTCGATAGAAAAAATGGATTTCTAGCGAAATAGTTATGATTTTTTTCAACTAGTACACTGGAATTGGCCGAAAATAGGGCTCAAAGTGGCCAAAATTGCCAATGCATAAACATCGTCGAGACCGCTAACTTCGCGAGAGCATAATTCTGTAAGTTTTCCATCAAATTTCATACTTTTGGTGTCATTATAACCGGGAAAAGATTCTCTGTCTTTTCATAAGTAAAAATAAATTTTTTTTTTTTTTTGAAATTTGGGCGACCCTGAGAACAAGTCTGGGAGAGTGCCTGGGGACCCTGAGAGGGTTAATACAATATACAGTACACAACTGTATCAACATTTAAAAATATACCAAAAATTTTATAAATGGTACAAAGGAGAAATTAAAACAGTATCAAAGATGGTTGACACAAACTCACTACCATTATAGTATGCTCCGTCGTTAAGTGAGGAGAGGCTGTATTAAGCCGTAAACGGTCCAAGCAGATCTACGTTCACATGTGTAGTGCTACAAAAGTAGATCTACGTTTTTTTTACATATTTTCAAATATAACAAAAAAAAAGTAGATCAAAGTTTTTTTACACATTTTCAAATGTAAAAAAAAAAAGAAGATCTACTTTTTTTACATACATACTTTCAAATGTTGAAAAAACGTATATATATGTTTGGACCGTTTACGGGTTAATGTAAGTATTGTACATGTATGTACTGTGTCATTATTTTATTTTTGTATCTGTTTTTTATGCTTAGCTGTATAAAGCACTTAATATATGATAGTATAAACATGTTATCAGGTATTTGAGATGCATTTGATAAAGAAAAACGTTTTCTATCCACTGGCAATATTCGCTTATGGTCGGGAGTCAGGAACATAACAGCTGTTGAAACGGGGGCTGTCCTGTATAATGATCTCAGAGAGGTAGATTGAACAGGCATGTCTGACCTTACAGCGAGTGATGCCCAGCGGGTTCTTTGTGGTATTCCGTCACTACTTGCGGGTGGACCAGGTGATAGTCAGAGTGAATGACACCAGACTCTACAGCCCCGTTGGTGCCTCATATATACTCCGGGAAACGTCAACAAGAGAGGCCCCAATCTCCAAGTTGCGAGTAAGTCGTGTTGTTTTTGGTTAGCATGAAACTTGCTGTATAACACTGTCAGTTATAGGGAAAAAAGAGTTTTATTTTACATTGTAAATTACAGGGTAAAAGAGTAATTATTTTGCATTGTAAATTATAGAGTAAAAGAGTAATTATTTTTTACATTGTAAGCAGTTGTCACTCTTACGAGGCTCCTGTATGTACAGATGCTCCTCGACTTACAATGGTGTTACATTATGATGAATTTGTTGTAAGTTGAAAATATCGTAAGTTGAATATGAATATGATAATTAAATAAGTAAACAAATAACTACTGTTACTGAATAAGTAAACAAATAATTACTGTAAGTAACTAAATAGCAATATTGAAAAGTAAATAAATGAATAAAAGTTACCATCTTGCCAACTTCCTGCTGGGTAATTATCTCAAGTTTCATCTCCAAAGTACAGTGGAACCTCAAAATTCGAACGTATCGCTTATCGAACTCTTCGAAAATTGACCGCTTTTTTCAAACCAACTTTGTCCCTATTATCGAACTTGCCCCTTCTTTCAAATCGCCAGGTACCAGACCTGTCCGCCAGCCTGCTCTGTCCGAGTCCCCACGCAGGCGCCGTGAGCCAGTCTGGCTTTGTTGATGCTTGAGTGAACACTAACCTGTGCTCTCATTCGAACATTTTACGATAAATTCATTGTGTTTAGTGCTTGTGGGACTGTGAAATAAGCTACATTGGGCCCAAAGAAACTTGCTAGTGGTACCCCTGTGGTAAAGAAAGTGAGAAAACACCATAGATGTGAAGAAGAAAATAATACAGAAGTATGAGAGTGGTATGCGACTTGTTGACCTTGCCAGGATGTATGGGAAAAACAAGATTTACACCAAGTGGAATGATGTCCAAATGTTTGTGGAGAAGTACCACCCTGAGCAAGCTGAAACAAGCCATCTTTGCAACAAGTTCAGTGACAGAACCATGTCCCATTTTAGGGAAATCTTAAAGAGGCGCCAGAAACAGAGGACTGTGGACAGTTATTTTGTGAGACAGGGGTCCAGTGACTCTCAAGCTAGTCCTAGTGGCATTAAAAGACAGAGAAGGGAAGTAGCCCCAGAGAGTGCTTTACCTGAAGTCCTCATGGAGGGGGATTCTCCTTCCAAACACTAACCCCAACTCCCTCTCTTCTCCTCCCTATCTTCCAGATGCCATCACCAATCTTCAATAAAGGTAAGTAAAAATGTTATTTTATATGTTTATTTAAATTTATTAATACATAATTGTACACTATAGTATTTGTTGTGTGTACGTAAAGCTGTAATTAATCTCTATAAAATGTATTTTTTGTGTGAATATTTTTGGGTTTTTGGAACGGATTAATTGTATTTCCATTATTTCTTATGGGAAATATTGCTTTGCCTTTCAAACTTTTCGACTTTAGAACTACCTCCTGGAACGGATTAAGTTCGAAATTTGAGGTTCCACTGTAATTGTGATTGCACCATTGTAAAGTCGAAATATGATAACTCGAGGAGTACCTTTATAGTGTAATTAGTTCCTCATCCTTGATGTAATATACCTGGAGAGTGTTGTGGGGGTCAACACTCCTGTGACCCAGTCCATGACCAGGCCTCATGGTGGATCAGAGCCTGATCACCCAAACTGTTATTACTGGCCACACGCAAACCAGTGTACTAGTAGCTGGGCCGAGCTGTAGCGGCACTTGTGTGATCCTCAGGTCCCTTAGTGACACTGTTGTCCACCTTCCCTACTGGCACTGCAACATACTTAGTTGACTGTTGTCAAGCAGCCATGTTGCTTGACAATGGTTTACCTGGAGAGGGTTTTGGGGGTCAATGCCCCCCACAGCCCGGTCTGAGACCAGGCCTCATGGTGGATCAGGGTCTGATTAACCAGGCTGTTACTGCTTGCTGCACACAAGCTGACATACGAACCACACCCCGGTTGGCCAGGTACTGACTTTAGGTGCCTGTCCAGTGCCTTCTTGAAGACAGCCAGGGGTGTATTGGTAATCCCCCTTATGTATGCTGGGAGGCAATTGAACAGTCTTGGGCCCTGAACACTTATTGTGTTGTCTCTCAGTGTACTTGTGGTAACCTTGCTTTTCATCGGGGGAATGTTGCATCTCCTGCCGAGTCTTTTGCTTTCATATGGAGTGATTTTCGTGTGCAGGTTTGGTACCAGTCCCTCCAGGACCTTCCAAGTGTATTTTTTTTTTTTTATTATCACACTGGCCGATTCCCACCAAGGCAGGGTGGCCCGAAAAAGAAAAACTTTCACCATCATTCACTCCATCACTGTCTTGCCAGAAGGGTGCTTTACACTACAGTTTTTAAACTCCAACATTAACACCCCTCCTTCAGAGTGTAGGCACTGTACTTCCCATCTCCAGGACTCAAGTCCGGCCTACCGGTTTCCCTGAATCCCTTCATAAATGTTACTTTGCTCACACTCCAACAGCACGTCAAGTATTAAAAACCATTTGTCTCCATTCACTCCTATCAAACACGCTCATGCATGCCTGCTGGAAGTCCAAGCCCTTCGCACACAAAACCTCCTTTACCCCCTCCCTCCAACCTTTCCTAGGCCGACCCCTACCCCGCCTTCCTTCCACTACAGACTGATACACTCTTGAAGTCATTCTGTTTCGCTCCATTCTCTCTACATGTCCGAACCACCTCAACAACCCTTCCTCAGCCCTCTGGACAACAGTTTTGGTAATCCCGCACCTCCTCCTAACTTCCAAACTATGAATTCTCTGCATTATATTCACACCACACATTGCCCTCAGACATGACATCTCCACTGCCTCCAGCCTTCTCCTCGTTGCAACATTCATCACCCACGCTTCACACCCATATAAGAGCGTTGGTAAAACTATACTCTCATACATTCCCCTCTTTGCCTCCAAGGACAAAGTTCTTTGTCTCCACAGACTCTAAGTGCACCACTCACTCTTTTTCCCTCATCAATTCTATGATTCACCTCATCTTTCATAGACCCATCCGCTGACACGTCCACTCCCAAATATCTGAACACGTTCACCTCCTCCATACTCTCTCCCTCCAATCTGATATCCAATCTTTCATCACCTAATCTTTTTGTTATCCTCATAACCTTACTCTTTCCTGTATTCACCTTTAATTTTCTTCTTTTGCACACCCTACCAAATTCATCCACCAATCTCTGCAACTTCTCTTCAGAATCTCCCAAGAGCACAGTGTCATCAGCAAAGAGCAGCTGTGACAACTCCCACTTTGTGTGTGATTCTTTATCTTTTAACTCCACGCCTCTTGCCAAGACCCTCACATTTACTTCTCTTACAACCCCATCTATAAATATATTAAACAACCACGGTGACATCACACATCCTTGTCTAAGGCCTACTTTTAATGGGAAAAAATTTCCCTCTTTCCTACATACTCTAACTTGAGCCTCACTATCCTCGTAAAAACTCTTCACTGCTTTCAGTAACCTACCTCCTACACCATACACCTGCAACATCTGCCACATTGCCCCCCTATCCACCCTGTCATACGCCTTTTCCAAATCCATAAATGCCACAAAGACCTCTTGTTCTCCTCCGTTAATCGCCGTATCTCCATCTTAGCAACTCTGAGCTCCTCTCTCAGCTGCTGGTAAAGTTGCTCAAGAGAAGGCATCACTGTAAACACCTGGTCCACACACCCCTTTCCTAAAGCCTCCTTGTTCATCTGCTATCCTATTCTCCGTCTTACTCTTAATTCTTTCAATTATAACTCTACCAAACTTATCCCCCTATAATTTTTGCACTCTCTTTTGTCCCCTTTGCCTTTATACAAGTGTATATTATCATGTATCTCTCTCGCCTGCATTCAAGGGAATACAGATCAAGGACCTTCAACTGTTCCCAGTAGTTTAGGTGCTTTATCGCAGATATGTGTGCCGTGAAAGTTCTTTGTACACTCTCCAGGTCTGCATTGTCGCCAGCCTTGAAGGGGGCAGTTAGTGTACAGCAGTATCCCAGCCTAGAGAGCACAAGCGATTTGAAGAGAATCATCATGGGCCTGGCGTCCCTAGTTTTAAAGGTTCTCATTATCCATCCTGTCATTTTCCTAGCGGATGAGGTTGATACATGTATATTGTTGTGGTCTTTGAAGGCAAGAGCCTCTGACATTATAACTCTCAGGTCCTTCGCATTACTTTTCCACTCTATTGCATGGTTAGAATTTGTGGTATACCCTGACACATTTTTAATTTCTTCAAATTTTCTATATCTGAGTAGTTGAAATTTCTCCTCATTGAACGTCATATTGTTCTGAGTGGCCCATTCGAAGATTTGGTTGATATCTGCTTGGAGTCTCGCAGTGTCTTCGATGGCGGTCACTGTCATGGTGATCCAGGTGTCATCCACAAAGGAAGACATGGAGCTATGGCTTATATCTCTGTCTATGTCAGAAATGAGAATGAGGAATAGAATGAGAGCGAGTACTGCGTCTTGTGGAACAGAGCTTTTTACCATGGCTGCCTCAGACTTTACTCTGTTTACTATTACTCTTTGTGTTCTATTTGTCAGGAAGTTGTAGATCCATCCACCAACTTTTCCCGTTATTCTTTTATCCAGCATTTTGTGTGCTATTACGCCATGGTCACACTTGTCGAAAGCTTTTGCAAAATCTGTGTATACTACATCTGTATTTTATTTATCCTCTACAGCATCCAGGACCTTGTCATAGTGGTCCAGTAGCTGGGACAGGCAGGAGCAACCTGCTCTTAACCTTGCTTCTTAGAACCCTCTCAAATATTTTTATGATATGGTATGTTAGTGCTATCGGTCTGTAGTTCTTTGCAATTGCTTTACTGCCACCTTTGTGGAGTGGGGCTATGTCTGTTGTTTTTAGTGAGTGTGGGATGACCCCCGTGTCCATGCTCCCTCTCCATAAAGTGCTGAAGGCACGCGATGGGACTTCTTGCAGTTCTTGATGAACACGGAGTTCCACCAGTTTGGGCCTGGGGCAGAGTGCATGGGCATGTCATTAACCCTTTGAGGGTTTCGGACGTACTAGTACGGCTTACGACCCAGGGTTTTTGACTTACTAGTACGCCTAAATTCTAGCTCCCTCAAATCTAGTGGGAGAAAGCTGGTAGGCCTTCATATGAAAGAATGGGTCTATGTGGTCAGTGTGCACAGCCAAAAAAAAAATCTTGCAGCACACAGTGCATAATGAGAAAAATAAAACTTTGACCGTTTTTTTGGAATAAAACAGCGACTTTGTACTGTATTTTCGTATGGTATTTATTGTTGTATTCTAGTTTTCTTGGTCTCATTTTATAGAATGGAAGTCATCTTACAGAAATTGAGATGATTTTGACTGGTTTTACAATGAAAGATACCTTGAAATTGAGCTCAAAGTAGCAGAAATGTTCGATTTTTACCAAATTTCAAAAGTAAACAAATCGTGCCAATGGTCCAATACACGTCAACTGGTGAGTCTAATATTCTTTCACAAGTGCGCCAATAATATTTATACCATTTTTTACACTAATGCAGTAGTCTGCATAACAGTAAATCTTATATTTTTTGTGAGAATAAAAATTCAAAGTGGAAAGCAAAAGAATATAAGAGGGGCCTTGAGACATGACTAATGAACAGAGGAAATGTCATTTTAGTGCCAGGAATGTCTTTCTTGCTTATTCTGGACCCTATTCAGAAATTGGCATCTTTTGAAATTTGTATGAAATTGGCAAAATTGCTAAATTCTGACCACTGTACTGGATAGTTGAATTTCATAAATGGGTGGTTTCTTACACCCATTCGATAGAGAAAATGGAGTTCTAGCGAAATATTCATGTTTTTTGTCGACTAGTACAGTGGAATTGGCCGAAAATGGGGATCAAAGTGGGCAAAATCGCCGATGCGTAAATATCCCCGAGACCGCTAACTTTGTGAGAGCATAATTCCGTAAGTTTTCCATCAAATTTCAAACTTTTGATGTCCTGATGATCGGGAAAAGATTCTCTATCTTTTCATAAGAGAATTTTTTTTTTTTTTTTAAATGACTTTATTTTATTGTTTTATTTTGGTATTTCATGTTTTACTTTACTTTTTATGTTGTTAGTATTGTATTTTATACTGTAAGGTTTAGGATAAACACTGTGTACAACACAAATAGTTGTTTATTTCCCAGAAATTTGGCATAAAAAACACGGTCGTAAGTCGAGTGGTCGTAAGTCGAGCAGGTCGTAAGTCGGATGGTAGGTGTATATTATCAAATTCATGGAAACCATTAAATCTGTAGGGGCTATACAGCACCTGAGAATTAGAGTGGGTATTTAGATTTAACCCTTAAACTGTCCAACCATAGATCTACGTTCACTCGTGTAGTGCTCTGAGCGTAGATCTACGTTTTTTTACATGCTTTCTCATGGAGAAAATCAAGGTCGGAGCGCTACATGTGATTATGTAGATCTACGTTTGGACAGTTAAAGGGTTATACAGGGGAATGGGAGGACAGTTCCAGTTACATACTTGGAATAAGAGCTTTTCATCAATATCAAGGTACCCACTCTTCCTCGAAGGGCCAAGATTTACAGATTGTTACTTAATTCATTTTAAGTGCTATAGTTATACCAACGCTCTTATATGGGTGTGAAGCATGGGTGGTGAATGTTGCAACAAGGAGAAGGCTGGAGGCAGTGGAGATGTCATGTCTGAGGGCAATGTGTGGTGTGAATATAATGCAGAGAATTCGTAGTTTGGAAATTAGGAAGAGGTTCAGGATTACTAAAACTATTACCCAAAGGGCTGAAGAGGGGTTGTTGAGATGGTTTGGATATGTAGAGAAGATGGTACAAAATATAATGACTTCAAGAGTGTATAAATCTGTAGTGGAGGGAAGGTGGGGTAGGGGTCGGCTCAGGAAAGGTTGGAGGGAGGGGGTAAAGGAAGATTTGTGTGTGAGGGGCTTGGACTTCCAGCAAGCATGCATGAGCATGTTAGATAGAAGCTAATGGAGACAAATAGTTTTTATGACTTGACGTGCTGTTGGAGTGTGAGCAAGGTAACATTTATGAAGGGATTCAGGGAAACCGGCAGGCCGGACTTGAGTCCTGGAGATGGGAAATACAGTGTCTGCACTCTGAAGGAGGGGTGTTAATGTTAGAGTTTTATAACTGTAGTGTAAGCGTACCTCTGGCAAGACAGTGATGGAGTGAACACTGATGAAAGTTTTTCTTTTTTCGGGCCACCCTGCCTTGGTGGGAAACGGCCAATATGTTAATAATAATAAAATAATAAAAAATGCTATACCCATGTTTGTCATTCAGCCGAAGACGTGATGGAGGCTTGATCCTCAGTCTGCTGAGTGCCAGACAGACCTGCTTCCTATTTGTCCTCACCTAGATATAAATTGTTACAGCTCATGATGTATATTTACAGGTGGATTCATCAGTGTACAACACTCCGGACCTAGTGTGGCAACACCTTCCACTGGTGAAGGAGAGCATTGACAAGTTAGTGGTGGAGTCCTGAGAACTTAGTTTTAAGTCGTCCCTCTTCGTCTGGTGGTTGTTAAAGAAATCATGCAGGGCGTAAGTGCAAGTTGATCATTTATTAACAGGCATGACCAGACATTTTAAGCCACATGTCTAAATATTGATTATCATTACTTTGGTTACATTAGCCATTAAGCAGTCAGCCAGTGTTGGTATGAAGTGCACTTCAAAATTATGTAGATGGTGAAATCTAAATCTAAAATGTGATTGTCTCAGGATACCGAGGGTATTCAAAAAAGAAATTAATAATTGTTGTGTCAGTAGGGCAGCACAACTTCCACAAAATCTTAATGGATGGACAATGCCAGCGTTGTATGACCCTTATGGGTTTAGTGCCTGGTTTTTATTGTAATAATGGATGGATGATGACATATATTAGCTAAAGCATGCAACTCAGAAGAGTTTCCTCTGTCAGTGAGGGGCTCTTGATCCAAGGAACTGTACCTGACCTGTTGAAAAAATATATATGTACTGAAAAACGTTTATTTCATTCCTATATTGATATAATAGGGAGCGCTAATACAGTAAGGAACAAAATGTCAGCTCTATAGTCAAACAACAGCGCTGTTTGACCCTGGTGGGTTTATTGCTTAGTTTTGATTGTAATAATAATAGTGAAATAATTACTACATGTTTTAGTGTACCAGCTCATCCTCAAAGCCAGTATTTTGTTGTTAAGAAAGTCACAAGTGAATGTTACACGAGCCTTAGGCCCTTATGGGTTTAGCACTTACTTATAATTATAACAATAATCATTGATTTTCTGACCAAGTCCACTTTGGAAGTCCCCATCTTCAAAATTTTTACAGCAAATATATAGGAGAAAGAGAGAGAGTGAGAGAGTGACAGTGAAAGAGATTGAGAGTGAGAGAGTAAGAGAGAGAGTGACAGTGAGTGAGTGAGAGTGAAAGAGAATGAGAGAGTGAGAGTGAGAGCCACCACTGATTGGAATGCTCTTCTCCAAGGGGATGTTGACAACCAAGTGAAAGCCTTCACTGGACACATCCTTAATCTACAACAAGAACACATTCCTCACCGGCAATATGTGATGAAGCCTACAGATCAGCCTTGGTTTGGCTTTCCTTGTAGAGAGGCTGCTACTGCTAAGTACAAGGCATGGTGAAGGTATAAGAGACATCCTACCACCTATAACAGGAACTTGCACAGGCAAGCCTGTAGGCATATGGGTGACGTTCAAAAGTGGGCCATTGCTAAATGGGAGGTGGACACAAAAAGAAAGCTAGCATCAGGTAGGGTAGGCTCCAAAACCTAGTGGTCCCTGGCCAAGGACAGACAAGGTTATCTGCCTGATGAACTCATTCCACCTCTAAATCAACAGGATGGGACCACCTCTACTGGTAGTCAAGTGAAAGCAGACCTTTTTACCAAACACTTAGCTACCAAAATGCAAGTTCTTGATCCAGTAAGGGACCCTCCTTGGCTAGCTGCAAGAACTGTGTCAAAACTGTCAAGTGGTGACGATAAGGCAGGAGGAGGTGCATTTCCTTCTTAAATCGCTTGACCAAGAAAAGGCTGTGGGCCCAGACAAGCTGAGCCCAAGATTGCTGAGAAGATGTGCAGACCAGCTAGCAGCACCTCTAACTCACATCTTTTAGCACTGCCTAGTACAGTGTAAATGGCCTTCTATGTGGAAAGAGGCAAATGTAGTCCCTGTTCACAAAAAGAAGAGCAGAGCAGAAATCAGCAACTACAGACCAGTGTCACTCCTGTCAATCACTGGCAAGATCCTTGAGACAATAATCTCAAGACAAATGACAGAGCTTTTTGACTACTGTTCACTACTTTGTGACCATCAATATGGCTTCAGGAAAGGTTACTCTGCTGCTGATCTGTTAAACCTCTCCACTAAGTGGCACCAGTCACTGGATGAATCCAAAGTCAGCTGTGTGGTAGCACTGGACATTGCTGGTGCTTTCGACCGGGTGTGGCACCAGGGCCTCTTAGCAAAACTGCAAGCTCTGGGAATTGCAGGCTCTGTGCTATGTCTCCTCAGTGATTACCTTCATGGTAGATCTCTAAGGGTAGTTCTCAATGGAATGGAATCAGCAAGACATCTTACTGGGGCAAGTGTTTCACAAGGAAGCGTGCTGGGACCATTGTTATGGAATGTCTACTTCAATGACCTTCTTCATCTCATCCCAGAATCCCATGCATATGCAGATGGCTGTACACTGACATTCACTTACCCAAGAGAAGAAATGCCAGCTGCTCTAAGCTACATCAATCACCAGCTAAGAGCTATATCAGCTTGGGGAAATAGATGGCAAGTAACATTTGCACCTGAGAAAACACAAATGATGGTCTCTAGGCACCATGATGGTAATGCTGGTGCAGCAGTAAGGATGAATGGGAGGATGTTGGCACCTGGAGAAAAAGTTGATATCCTTGGGGTGAAATTTGACTCCAAACTGACCATGAAGAACCACATTGTAAATCTTGCAAACAAGGCAGCCAGGAAGCTTACAGCACTTCACCATATCTCGCATCTGCTTGACAGTAGGGGATGCAAGATTCTGTACGAGGCACAAGTATGCCCACACCTTGAGTATGCTCCACTTTCTTGGTTTGCCTGCCCCCCCTCTCATCTGCGACTGCTTGACAGAGTAGAGAACAGAGCAAGACGTCTCATCTCTCGCCTGGACCAGTCCTGGATAGATCTGTCATTTCAGCAGAACCTTCAACACAGGAGGGATGTGGGTGGCCTTACTGTTATGTACAAGGCCAATATTGTCAAAGTACCATGCTTGGATCCACTTCGAGGACAGCGTGAAACAAGCTTTTATGCCACAAGACGGCAGAAAGCAGCAACTTCACTCTGGCTGTACCCTTCTCCAGAACATCACTTCGTCTGAGATCATTTATCTCCAAGATGACTCGAGTATGGAACACAATCGTACAGCGTAATGATGTCAATGAGATAGTCAGTTGATCAAATGAAAATGCTGGACCACAGATGGCTCCAACTTCATCCTGTTCCCTACTTGTTTGTTTCATAACAATAAAAATGCTTTCAAATGAGCTGATGTAGGTAACAGCTCTTAGCTTGTCAATAAAGTTACGAATCCTTAACCTGTAAATAGCATGTCAGTAAATCCAGGGATCCTTAACCTAACTTTGTCAAACCCTGTTAAAAAAAAAAAAAAGTGAAAGAGTGAGAGTGAGAGTGAATGTGAGAGAGTGAGATAGTGATAGAGAGAGAGAGAGAGAGAGAAGAGAGAGAGAGAGAGAGAGAGAGAGAGGTGAGATAGTGATAGAGAGAGAGAGAGAGGAGAAAAGAGGACTTTGAAGCAACACTGAATCTTTCTTCTTTCTTTCAACAAACTGGCCGCATCCCACCAAGGCAGGGTGACCCAAAAATAAAAACAAAATTTCTCTTTTCAAATTTAGTAATTTATACAGGAGAAGGGGTTACTAGCCCCTTGCTTCCCGGCATTGTAGTCGCCTCTTACAACAACACAGGGGCTTTCCCCCTGGAGGAAGAATAAAAGGGTTCTTTCACATTATGGAGTGTGACTAAGGCAAGTAAACTAGAAGGAAAAATAGAATACCCGGGGAAAAGGGGTGGCGAAAAAAATATACTTTACATCTATGACTCTAGTTTTTGCCAGAAGGGTGCTTTAAACAGTACAGTTACTAAATTTTGCATGTTTATGAGACAGACAAAAAGACACCAGCAATCCTACTATCATGTAAAACAATTACAGGCTTTCGTTTTACACTCACTTGGCAGGTAGACCGGGGTAGTACCCTCCCGGTGGGTATGGGGTTGCTGTCTACCAACTACTACCTAGAAGGGAATCGGGGGTTTTTACATTTGAAAATATTTTTAGTTTACTGGCATTGTGGTTGCTATGTTATAATTTCCATCTTTTAATTTAGGAGAAGAGGTTGCATCTACAGCGTCTGATCATGGGGGACTTGTGAAAAAAGCTACACCACAGAATGTCATTACTAATTTATATTTGAGGTGATGGTTCTTAAGAGTCAGTCTAAAATGTAATGATTTGCTGTAGCTCACTTGGTAATTTTTTTTTTTTTTTTGAGCCAGGGGGATACACTAAGCTAAACAGGGGTCTAATAATGCCTGGAAGGGAGTGACAGGCATTCAGATTTGATTCAAGGGAGATGGAGGGTTAAGTATAGTTCCTTGGATCAAGAGCCCAATGGAAATAAGTCACTCTGTCTGACTTTTTTGGGTTATCCTAGGTTCTCTACACATATGCTGCTATGTATGATAATTCTATGTAACTGTATTTGTGTATACCTGAATAAACTTACTTACTTACTTACTTACTTATTCTGACCTCAATTATAATCATAATTAAGTGCTAAGCCCACAAGGGTCATACACCACTGAATTGCTGACCTCAAGACACTTCCCTTGGGTTTCGTGCCTAGTAAATATATTTAGGTACACAAATTACTGTACATTAGTAACATATGTGTAAGTTATCTACCAGGATAACCCATGTCTTACTAGTAAGACAGGTCAACATCCAGGGTCACCCTGCAAGACAGGTCGACATCCAGGGTCACCCTGCAAGACAGGTCAACATCCAGGGTCTCCCTGCAAGACAGGTCGACATCCAGGGTCACCCTGCAAGACAGATCAACATCCAGGGTCTCCCTGCAAGACAGGTCAACATCCAGGGTCACCCTGCAAGACAGGTCGACATCCAGGGTCACCCTGAAAGGGACAGATCAACATCCAGGGGTCTCCCTGCAAGACAAGTCGACAATCCAGGGTCACCCTGCAAGACAGATAAAACATCCAGGGTCACCCTGCAAGACAGGTCAACATCCAGGGTCACCCTCCCAAGACAGTTCACATATAGGGTCACCCTGCAAGACAGATCAACATCCAGGGTCACCCTGCAAGACAGATCGACATCCAGGGTTACCCTGCAAGACAGGTCGACATCCAGGGTCACCCTGCAAGATGGATTGACATCCAGGGTTACCCTGCAAGACAGGTCGACATCCAGGGTCACCCTGCAAGACAGATCAACATCCAGGGTCACCCTGCAAGACAGGTCGACATCCAGGGTCACCCTGCAAGACAGATCAACATCCAGGGTCACCCTGCAAGACAGATCAACATCCAGGGTCACCCTGCAAGACAGGTCGACATCCATGCCCACCCGCAAGACAGGTTAACATCCAGGGTCATCCGGGCAAAACAGATCAACATCCAGAGTCATCCTGCAAGACAGATCAACATCCAGGGTCACCCTGCAAGACAGGTCGACATCCAGGGTCACCCTGCAAGACAGGTCGACATCCAGGGTCACCCTGCAAGACAGATCAACATCCAGGGTCATCCTGCAAGACAGATCAACATCCAGGGTCTCCCTGCAAGACAGGTCAACATCCAGAGTCACCCTGCAAGACAGATCAACATCCAGAGTCACTCTGCAAGACAGGTCAACATCCAGAGTCACCCAGC